GGACCATTTACATCCAGTTTTCAAACCTGCAGCACGATATGATATGGGATACTGTCCAGGGAAGCAACGAGGAATCACAGCGAGGCCGGGGTACCTGCAGAAGGGGATCCCGGGGACTCTATCCACGGCAAGTGTGTTTCCTCTCTTAGTTGGGCAACACGCCCAAGGGAGGCCATCAGGTGGCTCTCTATCTCTTGAAGGCAACTAAAATCTTTCATGATTCACAGAGAAGCAACGACTGAAAGGAAGAAAAGAGGGTAGAATTTATTTGATAATGCTGGGAAGAGCACACGGAAGAGGGGGCTTCGAGGGTGCTGGCAGTGCTGTCTTCTTGATCTGGGCGGTCCTTAGAAGGGCATGTGCTTTATAATGACTCACTAGAGTGAACAGGGAGGGTCTATATAGTTTTCTGTACACGTGTCATATTTTCTACTCCGGTGCAGAAAACACAAGTGGTAGCAATTCTGAGAGCTGGAAGCTTCCTCCATACCTGCTGGTGTCCACACGCAGTCTCTTTCGCTCTCTGTCCATCTGTCTCTAACACACACACACACACACACACACACACACACACACACACACACGGCAGTGGCTCTCCTTGGTCCCTTGCAACTCTGGGCCTGTTTCCTGCAAGGGAGACAAAGGCCTGGAGGCAGCCGGACTCAGGTTCGGCCCTGACACCCAGTTCTCCCCATGTCCCCAGCACTCTGGTGTCCTGCCTGGATGACACTTCCCATGGAGTCTTTCTGGCAACCGGGACAGATCCATCCATGGTGTCCCTGCTCTGGGTGCCACAGTCAGTCACCCAGAGTGGAAGGAGTTAGTTAAGATGTGGTTGAGTCCCCAGGGTAGGGACAGCCCTGGCTGGCTCACCTGTGCCCTGGACTGGAGACACGGGATGACAGCGAGGCCAGCTGCAAAGTCTAATGTACGCGGAGACCACCGTAGTGCAAAACAAGGCAGTGAGCAGGGTGCTGGGAACACCCCCATGTTGCAGAGGAGGCAAGTGAGGCTCAGAGAGGGGAGGGGCCAGCCCAAGGTCACACAGCATGTACGAGAACCAGGACTCCCTGTCTGAAGTCAGAAAGAGAAAAACAAATACTGTACATTAAGATGTATATATGGAGTCTAGAAAGATGGTACTGATGAACCTATTTGCAGGGCAGCAAGGGAGAACAGACTTGGGGACACAGTGGGGGAAGGAGAGAGGGGGATGAATTGACAGAGTAGCACAGAAACAGACATGACCACATGTAAAACAGACAGTGGGGATTTGTTGTGTGACACAGGGCGCTCACACCGGTGCTCTGTGACAACCGAGAGGGATGGGATGGGGTGGGAGGTTCACGAGGGAATGGACATATGTATACCTACGACTGATTCATGTTGATGTATGCCAGAAACCAGGGCTTCCCTGGTGGCTCAGATGGTCAAGAATCCACCTACAATGCAAGAGACCCTGGTTCCCTGGGTCAGGAAGATCCCCCTGGAGGAGGGAATTCTTGCCTGGAGAATTCCACGGTCAGAGGAGCCTGGCGGGCTGCAGTCCATGGGGTTGCAAAGAGTCAGACACGACTGAGCGACTAACACACACACAGAATTGTAACACACACAATATTGTAAAGCAATTATTCTTCAATTAAAAATAAATTAAAAAAGCAAAAAGAAGCAGGATTCCATGGCAGGTCTGACCCAGGCCAGAGTCCACTCACTTAACCATGTTTACGCTCTCCTTTGCTCACGCGCTCAACAATTCTATGCCAGGCATTGTGTTAGGAACTGGGGACACAGTGAATAAGACAGTCCCTTCTTCCCGGAGATGACATGCTAGTGAGTGAGGGAGATAAGATAACATAAAAGTAAACAAAAAAGTACATGACATGAAGGAGAGGGGACAGAACACGGTGTGTGTGTGGGGGGACAGGGTGTCTAGGGGGGTGGGTGTCCCTGAGCAGGAGCAGGGGAAGTGAGGGAGCCACGTGGGGAACCTAGGGAAATGCTTTCAGGGTAGAAGGAACCACAACTGCAAAGGCCTGAGGACTGAAGCCTGTCTGGCATGTTCCAGAATGCCTGAGGCTGGCCCAGGAGGCCTGTGTGGCAGGAAGGGAGGGAGGGTGTGAGGGGAGAGTGGCGTGGCTGAGGTCAAAGAGAGTCTACACTAAATGCAGAACAGCCGCTCCTGGAGCCCAGGCCTCCTGACCACAGCCCTCCCGGAGGGGCAGACGCCCTGCCCCATCACGTTATGTTAAGGAAGAGGAAGCAGGTGGGGGGATGGGAAAGCTTCCCAGGGGGCCCAGCTGGCCAAGGGCAGAGTTGGGGCAGGAGCCCCTAAAGATAAGCATCAGGGGAGGGTGAAGAATGAGGGTGGGGGTGAGGGATGACTCTCAGCTGGGGTCTCTGGTCCCAGAAGAGCAGGAGCCCACGGCTACGGCTACGATTCATGAAGAAGGCTCACTGGAAGCCAGGGGCTCACACACAGCCCTTTGCTCCCAGACCCCAGTCGTTCTGAACCTCAGACCTTCGGTTCCCTCCTGCCCCGTTCTGCTGTACTGCGTACCAGCCTTACTTAGAGCGACTTAAGAATTTCCATTTCAATCCACTCACTTGCAAAAAAAAAAAAAAGAAATTACTTTAAAATAGTCACCCAGACATGAAGGTTGGCCTGATGTTCCTACAGAGCACCATCTATGAAGTGGCAGAACCAGAATCCAATCGCACCTCTAGACCTAAGGCCCAACATACAGGAAGCACAAGGGACAGAGGAACAAGTGAAATGACACCACAAGGATGCCTCGGTGAGATCCGTACTGTGGGAACTCCAGAGGACAAAGGATCAGGGTTTTCGATAGATCAATGACCCAATCAGCGGGCACAGGAAAGAGCCTACAGACGACAGAAGACTTCAGGGGCCTGTTGACCAAACACAGAGCAGACCTTGTCCGGATGCCAAGTCAAACACACACATTGGAAAAAATGATGGTAAGACAGTTGGGGAAATGCGAGGCTATTAAGAAAGTATTGGTTCTTTTTCTCCTGTGGCCATGGTATCACGTGTGTGTGGGTGTGTTTAAAGACTCCTTAACTCTTATATGCAAAAAATCTGAGATATTTATGGTTGCAGTATACGATGTTTAAGAATGGTCTCCAAAGAATCAGGGAGGTGGGGGTGGGGTACAGATGAAAAAGCCCCGTGGTGACAGGTAACTGCTGAAGCTGGGGTGGGGGCCGTGAGGAGGGCGGCAGGCCATTGTTCAGAAGAACGTGTGGCCACTTCCATCATACAGAGGTTTTAAATGTTTTGCAAACGGGAACATGACCTAGTCAGAACAGTGAAGAATTCATGGGTCGCTCACCCTGTGAAACTTAATTACTAAATCCAAACACGTATCCGGCCTCTAATAACTGTAACAGACATCGCGGCAGTAGTAACTATAATGACATGATGATGGCAGACCTGGGCTGAGAGTCGCTCTAAACGGGAACCAGTGCAGGGACACCCGGGGCTCAGGGCCTGGCCCAGGTCACAGAGGAGGCTGGGGGAGCTGGGTGAGGCCAGCAGGGAAGCTGGATGCCCAGTCCTTGCCCAGAGGGGGTGGGGGAGAGGAGGCCAGGGAGCCCTTGGGGAGCGGGGGCGCACGGGGGCGTACAGAGGCTCCTGGACTCTCAGCTCCCCTCACTCCCATCGAATGAATCATAATGGCTCCTGCACTGCAGCAGTCACATCTGAGCACAAACCTTTCCTGAAATTAAACCATCAGCCACTCCATGGGAGCCTGAAATGGTAACCGGCAACGAATGACATCAGATTTGGGGGCCCACCAGCCTGGGCGCTCCTCCCTGCAAGGTTGCAGGGCCCCCCACAAGCAGGGGGATGCATGCCCTGCTCCCCACCCCCTCCCCCTCCCCCTCCAGGTGCCATGAGCAGCCAGGGCGGCTGGCGTGGGTCTGCAGAAACCTTCTCCCCTCTGTGGCTTCGGCAGGATCCTGCCTGCAAACAGGGAAGCCAGGGGAGCCTCTGCAGGGGGGTGGGGGGAGTAGAAAGTGAGGGAGAGGAGGAGAGACAGGCAGAGATTCAGGGAGAGAAAGATAGGAGGGGGTGGGGACAGTCAGCTGCCCAGACGGGGCTGGCGGGCCCAGGGATGAAGAGGCCCCGATGCCTCCTCCGGGCCTCAGCTCCCTTGTAAGTAACGTGGGAATAACAGTCACATCTTCCTGTAGTGAGGCTGTGGGGGTGACACGACTTAATCACGCCACGTCAGAAGCCTAGAAAAGTGTCCAAACACTGTGAAAGCTAATACGTGATTTCTACCGTTTCTGTAAGCCAGTGGCTCTCATCTCGGTTCAGAATCACACTACAGTCGCCCAGGGAACTTAAAAAAAAAAAAAACACCAAAAAACACAAAACCCAATGCTCAGGCCCCACAGCCAGAGATTCAGATTCAAGTGGTCTGACCTTTTGCTGTTCAGTTGCTCAGTGCTGTCCGACTCTTTGCACCCCGTGGACCGAAGCGTGCCACGCCTCCCTGTCCTTCAGCATCTCGGGGAGCTGGCGCAGACTCACGTCCACCGAGTTGGTGATGCACACCTGTACCAGGTAACCCTAACGACCATAGGGTGGGGGTGGCGGGGAGCCCGGACACAGAGTCCCAGGACTGAGTCCTCAAGGGGGTGGTATAAAGTGAGACAGACTGATGGGGGGCGGGGTAGGGGCGGAAAGGAAAAGGAGGGGGAGGGGCAGGGTACGCCGCCCAGGAGGCCCCTCTCTGTCTGCCCACCCTCCCCCACCTTGCCCACCGGGAGTCTGGGGCCGGCTGAGGAATGCGAGGAATGAAGCCAGGCCTGGCACGGCCATCCCCAGGTCCCCTCCCCCTTCGCAAACTGCCAAGAGCCCATCCTTGGCCAGGTCACTGGCCAGGCTGTCAACCGCCCCCTGCCCCCCCAAGGCCTTGGCAACCACTCGGTCCTCCCGGCCTGAAGCCCACTCCCAGCCCTCTCCTCAGGGCGCCCGTCCTGAGCCCCCTTCTCCTGTTGGGTCCCCGGTGACCCCGGTGCTGGACCACACGGCGCAGCCCAGGCGTGGAGCCCTTATCAGTGGCGGGGTGAGTGATGCTGACAGCGGCATGTGGCGGGCTCTGGAGGCAGCAGTGGCCTGAAAAGGCTGCCCAGAGGTGATGACCTTTAGGCTAAGACCCAAAGGATAACTGAGGTGAGAGCAGCAAATAAAGACCAGCCAGGCTGAAGTGCAGGAGGCACGTGGAGGGGGTCAGGGCCTAGCCCCCCAGAGGCGGGACTGTGCCCGGCAGTGGGGACCACGGAAGGGTCTGGAGCTGGGAAGGGACGCACTCAGACCTCAACCATAGGCATCGGCTGCCCTGCACCTGGTTACCTCGCAGGGCTGGAGAACCACGGCTGGCCTCCGGGGGTCCTCAGCTATCCCCATATCCCGCCACCGCCCCGGGGGTAGGGGCCCGGCCCTGGCTCCCTCTGGCCATGCTGTGAGGAGACCCCAGCGAGCTGCTTCCTGCATCCCTGAGCCTGTTTCCTGATAATTAAACCGTAAGCTGATTAGTCAAGGAAAACCTTTAATTAGCCCTTGAAATCATTCAGGAAAATTACAACCTCCTCTCCGGGCAGGCTGCCCGCCCTCTGCCAGGGCCCAGGGGCAGTGCCTGGGAGGAAGCAGTGCACGGGGGAGCCAGGCTCCTGCCTCTGCTCTGAGGGCCTCACCCAGCCAGGCCAAGCCCCGGGAGCAAGATGCCGGCGGCCACGGGCTCCCCCTGCCACGTCACCAAGGGCCCGGAATAAACCCAGCAAGAGGTGGCCAAGGCCCAGCTGGAAGAGTGTGACCGTCTGCTGAGAGACATCAGAGGAGACCTAGATAAATCGAGAGACAGACCATGTTCATGGACTGGGAGACTCAACGTCATGTCTGTTTGTGGGGCATGAGGCTTGTCTCACATCTAAGTGGCGTTACAAAAAGTCAAATAGCCGAGACACTTGGGAAGAAGGATGCGTGCGTGGGAGGGCTTGCTCTCCACGCCATCAAGACTTATTATCAACTATTGAGACTTGCCTGGTGGTCCAGTAGCTAGGACTCTGCTCTCCCAATGCAGGGGGCCCAACTGAAGATCCTGCCTACTGCTACAGAGACTGAAGATCTCTTGCGCCACAACTAAGACCTGGCATGGCCACTTAAATAAAAATACTAAGAAAAAAGACAACTATACGAATTAGGATAGCAGGGTATTGATACAGGAATAGGCAAACCTGTGTACAAGAAAGGATGAGAGCACCCAGAAACAGACCCACTTATAAAGACATGAATCTACGACCCAGGCGGCAGAGGAGAAACTACAGCCTGTTGTCATAATGGTATATGGATGACTGGGGATCCAGGTGGATAATGTGAAACTGGCTGACTACCTCACACCACACACATGGGTGCGCGCACACACACACAAACTCCAGAACAATGAGAGACTAAATGTGAAATGTAGAACTATAAAACTATAAAGGAAGTAGGTGATAAATCTGACTACAGTAAAAGTAAAAGCTTCATCAAAAGACACAATTTAAAGAAAGTGAAAAGATAGGCCACCAAACAAGAGAAGGTAAGGAGGACCATCTTAGAAACACAGGTTCTGGTCCAGACTCTTTAATTAAGACCTAACTCAGAAGTTCAAAATTAAAATGCAGACAGCCCGGAGGAGAAAGAGGCAAGTGGCTGGAACAGGCCCTTCACAGAGGGGCGCTCCAGATGTGCACTCAGATCTTCACAGAGCACAGCAAAGGCTGCCCCGGCCCCGGGAGGAGACACCACTGCGTCAGCTTCGCACCAGTGGGCAGGATGGGCCCAGCACTCACCACTGGCGAGGCCCTCACCTCCCTCATCTCTGAAATGGGTCGAATCCTTCCGGAAAGGACTGAGCAGAAGCAGTGTGGGAGTTCTGTACAGGCGCTGCGCCTGGCATGTGCGAGCCCTCAATCAGTTCTCTCTATTCATCAGCCTCAGGAATAAGGACTCCCCAGGCTCAAGGTCATTTCAGGCCTTCTCCTGCCTCTGAGCTGCAGCTGGGATGTGTCAGGGGTGTGGCCAGAAGGCTGAGAGTCCAAGAGACAGGCTCCAACTGGATAGCAACTGGGTTTGTTTATCAGCACAGAGTCCCTGGAGGCCACAAAGGGCCATGCACTCCTGAGTATTTGTTGGAAAAAAGATAATAAATCAATCACATTCCTATTTCTCTGCCAGGCCCGAGGATAAGTATGTTAGGAGCAGAACCTCAGAGATGCCCTGGGACACCCAGAGGAGCCTCGGTTCTAGAGAGGAAGAAACTGGGACACCGAGAGGCCCAAGCGCCTGTCAAGATTCAATTCCAGAGTAGACAGAACCAAATGCCAGTCTTCTTTCAGTTCCTCAAAGGTGCCTTGCGCTCTCCTGCCTAGGACGTCTGTACAGGCAGCTCCCTTAGCCTCGAACCCATGACCCTCCACCTCCCTGAGTTCATCCTTCAAGTGGCAATTCCTCCTCAGGAAAGCCTGCTCTGTAATCCTCACCTGGGGGGAACTACCCCCCCGCCCAACATACACCCTGGCAACGACATACTCCACTTGTTACAACCTCTCATTCATTCATTCAGCCCACCAGTGCTTAGGGAGCGACTAGTAAAAGTCAAGCCCTGAGGCTACAGCAAGGGACACATTAAGCTGCGTGCCTGGCCCTGCCCCGTACCCCCACCATGAAGCTAAGTCACGGGAGTGGGTGGGTGAGGAGGACACCACCCAACCCGTGCAGTCACACTGGAACAGCAGGGACGTTGAGTGGACCAGGGAAACCAAGCAGCGGAGGCGGGGAGAGAGTGACAAGGCTCCTGCAGACCTGGGGGCGCCAAACAGAGAGCCTGAGGCGGGCCTGAAAGTTCCAGCGACAGGGCGGCAGGAGATGCGTGAAGGCGAGCAGCGAAGCTGGGCCAGGATCTTGTGGGACCTCGAAGGCTGCTCCCCAAAAGAGATGAAGCCAGGGAAGGGGTTCCCCGCAGGACAGGGACCGGCTCTGACCCGGGCTCCCTTCGGCTGCCCCCACGGTCGAGGCTGGAGTTAAGGGTGGCTGGAACTAGGTGGTGACGACAAAGAGTGGGAGGCCCCAGGTTCTAACCCGAAGGTAGATGAGAAGGCTTTCTGGACATCCTGGATGTAGAGGAAGAGGCCAAAAGGAGTCAGGATGACATCAGATTCCCAGCCCGACCAGGAGGGTGGATGGGGCACCCGTGAACAAGGCAGGGCCTCTGGCAGAAGATGGGGCCTGGAGTCCGGTCTATTTTCCGTGTCTCTCTTGGTCCATACAGAGTCCCCTGCCAGACCGAGCCCAGTGAGAGAGCCTGTGTGTTCACTGTGGGTCTCAAGAGCCCAGAGGCGAACATAAGAGGTGGGATGGGTAAGAGCCAGCATGGACAGGAACCCCGGGGAGGAGAAAAGGACAAGAGGACTCATCTTGGCAATAAGAAGCTTCTGCAGGAGATGAGAATATAAAATGTTCCAAGGTCAATTACAGAGTCTGACAGGCCCCGTGTTGGGGAGGGAGGCTGTGCAGTGTGGGCGCGGTTACCCCCGCTTGGGACAGCTGCGTGGCGGGGTCTGCTAAAGGTGCCAAGACACAACCCCCCCCCCACCCAGCACTGCACCCTGGACGTGATCCCTGGGGAAATGTGGGCACAGGCATTCTGGCAGACACGTTCAAAGAGCACGTGTACACTGGGGGCAGTGGGAGCAGAGCAGTAAGTTAGTTAGAACACCGCACAGCCAACAGACCACTCACACCCGGCGACCACAGGGATGGGCCTCACAGACTAAGGAAGAGGGAGACCAGATGAGGGCGTCCTGGAGGAGTCCGTTCACGTGAAGGGCCCGAGCAGGCAAGGGGGCAGGCTAGGACTGAGGATGCACACCTGGTAAAACCGCCAGACAAGCAGGGAGCCAGTGACCCCCAAAGTCAGGGAGATGGCCGCTACTGGGGTTGTGGTCAGCAGGGAGGCCCTGGGGTGGGTGTTCTCAGCCTCTGCCCAGGTGTGGGGAAATGCTGCTCCCCTTGTAATTACCTGTTAGACTGACGTGCGCTGATGCACTTCTCTGTAGGTATGTTAAGCTTCCCAATTATTAAAGGTGGAAAGAGAGGTGGAATTATCAAGGTACCTAAAACACACACACACACAGCGACCCGGGGCCAGGCTTCTGCTGAAGACTGGGAGGAAGGAGAAGGGGGCCGTGGAGGCGCTGGGCGCAGCAGAGGAGGGGTCCCTAGGGAGAAAGCAAGCACCAGAAAGAGAGCGCGCGTGCGCTGAGGGCTCGATGGGGGGTGGGGGGGTCCTCACCTGGGGGACGGCGGGAGCCCGGCCCGCTCGCTGTCCTACTTCCTCCCCATTCCCAGCACTCAGTGAGGAGGGGCGGGGGAGGGGAGGCGGCCCAGGCCGCTTCCCGTAGGGTGGGAGTGGCTGAAACCCGCTGGGGGAAGCCAGCCCGAAACTGCCACACAATGCCGCTTTATCAGGAGTTTCCAGGGCCGGGCTGGGGCTGGCGGAGGGGAGCAGAGGGCGGGGGAGGGAGGCTCTCTCCATGGGGCCCCTGCCTAGCGCCCCCACCTGCCCAGGTGTGCCCTCCGAGCTCCGCTGCAGCCAGCCCTGAGTGGGGGCGGGGCAGACGGGCGGGAGGGACAGCCTTCTAAACCCCAGGCTCAGCGAAGGGGCGGCTCAAGGAGTGCCCCCCAGTGGTTAGGAGCCCGGGCCAAACCCCAGCCCTGCTGACTGACACCAGGCTGGTCCCCTGGGACCTCAATTTCCCCCTTTAAAAGAGGGAGAACACGCGGTTTTCCTGATAGCTCAGTTGGTAAAGAATCTGTCTGCAACCTGGGTCGCGAAGATCCCCTGGAGAAGGGATAGGCTACCCACTCCAGTATTCTTAGGCTTCTCTTGTGGCTCGGCTGGTAAAGAATTCGCCTGCAATGTGGGAGACCTGGTTTGGATCCCTGGCTTGGGAAGATCCCCTGAAGAAGGGAAAGGCTACCCACTCCAGTATTCTGGCCTGGAAAATTCCATAGACTGTATAGTCC